CCACCATCACACTACTGATACTCTACTATGTGAGTGCAAATTTTTGGGCACTTTAGTGTTCAATCATCTTCCACCTTCGGATCACGAAAGGCACGCAAGCCAATCTACATCCTCAGGTCTAAGAAGATTGAACATGGGCAACTGTTGTACCCCAAAATTTTCCCTCCCATATTCTTCAAAATTTGTCAAGATCAAGCTTCAAATGGATTAAGGATTGCACAGTGCAAACACCCTCCTAACACAGTCAAAATTAGGGTTTTGGTTCTTACAAGGAAGTTGAGGTTCCCAAGGGTCCAATCAAGTCCCATATGCCTATATACATTGTCAAACACCTATATGTCAAGTTTCAAGACTCACAACATCAAGTTGCACAGTCAAAAGCCCTAATTGCTTCACAGTCAACTGCAGGGGTAAAATGGTCATTTGACAGTCAAAAGTCAAAAATTTTGGTCAACATCTTATTTTTAAGCCACAATCATCATTTTATCAAATCTTGATCATGATTCCACAAGCATGGCTCAAAAAGTCTCAAGATGTCAAAAGTTTCTATTTTTGGACAGCTGAAAAGTCAACTGCAAATTGACCAGGGCATAACTTTTTCATGGTTCATCATAAAAATCCCATCCAATGCTCATTTTGAAGGGGATGACATTTCCTACAACTCATCTTCACACTCCAAGTCCAAGAAATGCTCTCACAAAAAGTTATCAATTTCAACATTATAGGTCATTTTCAAAAGTTAACAAAAAGGCACTTTAAGTCAAAGATCATAACTTGATATTGGTAAATCAAAATGACATGGGACCAAGGGCATTGGTTAGAGGACTTCAAGACCTTTCCAAAATGTCCAAGAACATGTTCATAGCTTCAAAATTGAGCAAGATATGCATGGGAGAAGTTGGGAAATTTTTGGGAACTTTCAAAAGTCAACTTTGCCTAAAACACTTCATTTTTGCTAATGGGCCTCAAATTCTTTCTTGAATCTTTGCCCAAGGCCTATGCACGACCCATTAAGCTTAAATTGATTTATCTTCTTATTTTTAATTAATTAATTGAATTTTTATTAATATTAATTCACTTAATTGATTTTAATTGTAGGAAAATATCAAAACATGGTTGTCAAATCTTTTTATGAAGCAAATACACTCCACACATGCTGAAGATCTCGTGCATCACTCAAGGGGACAAGATCTCCCAATTTGGCAAGGTTTTCCATTCAAAAAGATTGAAAAAATATTTCATTGGAAATCAAAGATGCAAACTTGAATACAATGGATTATTGGGCCAGGATTTACCCTAATTCAGTTCTCTTATATGTACTAAACCTAAACCTAATCATGCACACGTGAAACTGCTGCTGAAACACCATAACCAAACTCTAAAAAATTCAAGAAAAGTGTGAAACTGAATTCTTATTTACAGCGCAATTCAAAGCCTCTTTTTTATTCACACACCTTGCCTGAGTCTCCAGGAATCTATTGCACTCAAGAACAAGCCCCAACACCGTCAGAATCAAAGAATACAAGTCCCACGGTTTGAATATATTTCCAAAATTACATATCATAATTCATGCGTTTTTAATCCATTTTCTTGGTTGATTTATGTTAATAGGGACATTCTGAAGCTATTGGTATAAACCAATTTGGTTATAGCGTTCTGAATCGAAATCCACCATTGGAGATATCTAGGGTTTAGAAGCTTGAAATTTAGGGCTTTGCAAATAAGGAAAAATTGGATCTTGAAACAAGAATGGTTGAATTCGTCAAGGCCAGACGAATTCAACCCAATCCTCGCGCTCAATTTATATCAACCCTAACTCTAATCGTTATTTTTCGTGGTTGTAGTTAGTGGGGGTTAAAAACCCCCGCTACTTGTTCTGTATTTTGCAGGAAAAGATGAAGAAGACAATACGTGTATGAACGTGACTGGGTGATTCAAATGAGTGGCGCGCATTTTTGTTTTGTGGCATAATTATTGGGTTCCTTAATATAATATTTATTTGTCAATATGTTTACAAACACACGCAGATGGTGGAGTGGTTAGTGACGTGTTTGTTCACCACTGGGACCTGGGTTCGATTCCCAGGTCCCCCAAACTCTTGTTTCTATTTTTCATAATGTGTTCCAATACAGCATATGTCCAATGTTCCACCATAGGCCTCATGATTCCAGCGTGCCATGTGTCCCCATCCAAAGGCCAGGAGAGGAGGAATACCATATTCCTCAGTCAATGCACGTGCAAGCAATCAGGAAGGTCAACAAAGGCTTTGTGATTAATGGGCCAGAATTTCTCAATTTCACCTCCATATGGGCCAACATACCCCCCTGGTTTGCATTTTTTATTTTATTTTCTTTTCTTTCAATTCTTTTAATTGTTTTAATTATTATTATTAATTCACCAACAAATTAATTTTTCCATAATAAAAATCAGAAAATCAGAATTATAAATTTATTTTAATTATTTATTAATTTCATCATTAACTTATTTTTGTAAATAAATGCTAACAATTAACTTAGCTTAATTTAGTTTTAAATTTTAATCTTTTTCTTAATAAATAAAAATCATATAGAATTAGGTTTTTTTGACAATTTTCATTCACATTTTCTTATTATCATCATTATTAATTATTATTATTTTGTAAATAACATGTAAATTAATTAATTAGTTTAAATTAGTTTAACTTTAACATTTTTATAATAATTAAAATAAACTTAGAACTAGGGTTTTCTTTTGACTTTTAATTTATTTTATTTTCATTAAATACAAAAAAACACAAAAAAACATCTTTCTTTAATTAATTAAATAATTAGGTTTAATTTTAATTAAAAGCAAAGGACAAAAAACTCATAATTGCTCAAAAGGGTCCAAAACCCTAAGGACGTCCAATTTAATTCTTTCGCGCGTTATTTTTTTATTTGATTATTATGTAACTGTTTCCGGAATGTAATAGTAATTAGGTTTATTGCTTTCTTTACTTTCCGCATTTTACCAAAAACGGGTCTTTGTTTTTTGGCGATGTATAGACCCGCGCCTTGTAATAGCGTAGCTTTTACCTTTCTGTATTTAATTTTCCGCACTCCTAACTGTTAATTGCATGAAAGAATGTATGATAACTAAAAACAACCCGTAGCTCACAATTGCATGATCAAAGATAAATCTTAACATGAAAACAACACACAATGCACATGCCACTTCTAGGGTACGCCTCACTCGTTTCCTCGAATGTAGTCGTCAAGTATAGGGTGTTTTAGCGGTCGCCCTTATGTCTAAGATCCAGTTGCCTCGAAACGGTTGTCTCGGATTAAAAAGGATCTAGGACATTAGGGTTACTTCTAAGGTGTCCTACTATTGCTTCGGTGACCACACTGTCCCTACAATCGAATTGACCCGAACACCTCCAACGATGGTGCTCCCTACCTCTCAATGGTGGGATGGCACTATCTTAAGGACTCTTACACAGCCTAATTCCTTAGGGTAGGTAGATGACTCATGGGTACTTGCTCTCTTCAAAAACAAACCAAACATCTTTTCACACTAACACTTTCAAAAGTTTTCAAACAAATTTTTTAAACACTCTTGAGGACAAATACAAGAGTCACTTAGAAATCTTTCAAAAACGAAACTTTTTTTCAAACCCACAAACACAAGAAAAGCAAACTCTTTTGAAAACATAGTGAGCAAGTACCTAAGAGCCCGTGGATAACCACGGATAGAAAGGGTGCTAACACCTTCCCTTTTTATAAATCTACCTCCCGAACCGAGAGACATTCTCAATAAGGAATTTTGATGTGCTTTTGTCCTTTCCATGTTGGAGAACATAAAAGACGGTGGCAACTCTTGCTTACCGCGACATACGCGATCCAGCTTTAAACAGTCAGTTCTATTTCCACCGATCACATATACTATATGGGGTGTTACAAATAATCCTAAGAAAAATTAGTTTTTATTAACCATATAAAAAATAAAATTAAAGAAATATAAAAAATACTAAAATAATGCTGAGAAAAATTAATTTTTTTTAAATAACTAAAAGATAATCTTTAACAAATATTAAAAACTACTAAAACAATCCTTAGAAAAATTAGTTTGACTTAATATCTAAAATATAAAATTAAACATATATGAAAAATTACTAATATTATCCTAATAAAATTAATTTTTATTATATAACTAAAATCTAAAATTATAAAAAGTTAAAAAATTAGTCTTAGTAAATATTATTTAATACATAATAAAAAATTACTAAAATATAAAAAAAGTTACTAAATTAATCCGTGGAGAAATTAGTTTTGATTAAATAACTAAAAAAATTAATTAGATATATGAAATTACCAAAAAATCCTAAGAAAAATTAGTTTTTATTAATAATCTTAAATAATAAAATTGAGCAAGTAAAAAAAATACTAACATAATCTTAAGAATTTTTTTATAAAAATAAGTAAAAAATAAAAATAAACAAATATAAAAAAATCACTAAAATAATTCAAATTTTAGCGCCAAATCTCAACCTATAAAAATATCAAAAATAAAAGTAAAATTAAAATGTAAAAATAGAATATTTAAACGGTTATTCTATTCCTTTGCAAGTCACTCCTTTTCCCCTATATATTAATTAGTAATGATTTAATGCTAGTCGTAGTTATTATTATAGCACAATACTTAATAATATTTTAGGAAAATATGTAACATTTTTACTTATAAGTTATTTCAGATATTATCGTGAATAGGTATCATGTCCATTTGTCTCTTTTGGAAATGAAATTATTTTATTTTAATTAGTATTTTATATAAAAAATCTTTAAATAGTATTTATTTAAAAAAAACAAAATAAGAAAAAGAATTATAATTTGATCATCTACCATAGAAATAAAAAAAAAATTAAGATTTATTGTAGCTTATCTCTTAGCATTATATATATATATATATATACACCCCTTCATTCTCACCAGTAACATAAACACATAAAATTTTCTTCACTCATTTCTCTAGGAAAAATAGTCATGGGAGTATACGTTGATAGGTTAAGTTCTTTGCCAGAACCTCTACTTTCGGCTATCGTCTCCTCTTTATCATTTCAAGAAGCGGTAAGAACTTCTATTCTTTCAAAAAATTGGGTGAATATTTGCAAATCAACAACGAACATTGAGTTCAATGAACTCAAATTTGTTCGATTTGATCAATCTCCAGAAAACATCGATGCTCAAAGGCGAGCCTTTTCGGCTTTCACAAAAAAATGGATTGAAAATCGTACAGAAGATGCCGTGGTCAATTTCTCTTTGAGAATTTCTAAGCCCGAATTGTTTAACCAACTTATCAATCGATGTATTGAGTTCGCTATAAGAAATGGAGTAAAGAATTTGGAGCTTGATTTCACATATCCATCATGGGTGAAAGATGGTTTTTACTATGATGTCTACATAACTTCATTTGATTTGCCAACTTGCATTTATGACTACGGTAGAATAGAATATTTGAAACTATATTCATGCAATTTTATCACAAGTGCCATCACAAAGTTTCATTCACTAAAAGAAATTTCTTTGGGTTATATGAAATTGAGCTTGTGTACTATTAAGACACTTTTATCTAATTGTGAAAAGTTGGAGAGTATAAGTCTCTCTAATTGCTGGAGTTCAGATAATTTTAATTTGAATGAAAAATATCCGAAGCTGAAAAAATTGATTATCAACCAGTGTCATTTTAAGCTTGATATTTTAAGAGTTAATGCTCCAAATTTGAGGATTTTCAGTTATCATGGATTAATGATGAATTATGTAGCTGATATTCAATCACCTAGATTGCATGAAGCTAATCTTGATTTTTCACCTGAATATGGATCTCAAGGACATGGTACTCATCTTTACAATCTCATGAAAGAATTTATTTCCGTAAGAATTATGGTTGTTTGCAGTTTCATGCTTCAGGTACTAAATTTTCCTTTGCTCTTTGTATTAAATTTTAGTTGATGAAATGATTTATAGCTAGATCTATCTATTGATTTCATTATTTTTCTTAACATTTTGTTTTTGATATACTAAGGTTATTTACACCGGAGGAAGACCAAAACGTACACATCGTAAAATGGATGTGAGACATTTGATAATGAAGACTGCTTTGCATAAGTATGAATTTATGGGAATTACATTCATGTTGAGAAGTTGTTGTTATCTGGAACATCTTACAATTGACCTTTGTGAAGAAAAATATTTGTTGGTAAGTATTTCATTTTGTTAAAATTAATATGTATATATATTGGTCTGTATAATTAACATTTTGTTTTTGCAGGATTATGAAGCCATGGAAGAAGTTAACCCAGAGACATTTTGGATTGATATTAAAAAACCTTACAAATGTATGAGATTATCTCTAAAGGAAATCGAGATTATGGGGTTTAAAGGAACTGAAAATGAGATTAGTGTAGTTAGTTACTTAATCACCAATGGAAAAGCTTTGAGAAAGATGAGTATCAAAGTACATAGATATGACTTGGAAGAGGAGGCTGCACGGAAGGTCGCTGTCTGCCGCAAAGCAGTGCAATATTTAATGATGCTTCCAACTCTTTCATCTCATTTGGAGATGAGAGTTTATTGGTGAATTTTTAAGATTGGTGGTGGTTGTTGTTGTTGTTATTTTTAATTTTATTTTATTTTTTTCAATTTATTATTGGGTTTGATTGTTGAGAAATAATTTTTGAGAATTTACTATTCAACTGGGATTATAATATAAGACTTTTATTTTGTAATTGGTTTCAACATTTTATGAATAATTCAACCGAGCCTCGACATTCTTCAAACTAAATAGCATCATTACCCATTCATAGGTGCCTAAGGCTCTTGGGCAATAAAATTCCGTTTTTAGCACATCCTCATATGTGGTAAATATTTGATTATAATCAGAGTAACCATCGAGCATGCTAAGATAGTCAAAACCCACTGCTAAGTCGACCAACATTTTAGCGACAAACATAGGGTATTCGTCTTTTGGGGTTGCAGCATTCATATCTCCAAAATCTATGCAAACTCTTAATGTTCCATTCTTTTTAATTATATGAACTATTATATTTGCAAGTCATTCGACATACCTCGTTGTCCTTATGAACTTTCTTTTCAAGAGTCATTCAATCTCCTCTTTTATTTTGGATGTTATCTCCAGTGCAAACCGTCTTGGCATTTGCTTGATCGGAATTTTCCCAGGCTTTATTGGCAACTTTAGTTCCATCAAATATCTGCTTAAACCTGGAATTTCATTATAATCCCAAGCAAAACAATCTTTATATTCTCTAAGTAAATTCGTTACCTCAACTTTCAGATTGGGATCAATGTTGGTACTAATGAATGTTGGACCCCTATCATTTCCTTCGCCTAATGTTGGACTCTAGCCTCCAAGGCCGCTTTCAATCTATTTTCGACTACATAAGCCAAAATCCGCTACAACGCATTAAAATCATACATCATCATCAAATTTGCTCCCCTAGCCAGTCGGATGGATGATATGCACACCTTCATCCCCCATTATTTCTCTATCCCATATAAATCCATGGTGGGGTGAAGTGCAAGAGAATAAAATGCCTCGTCAATAGGCCTATAGGCGAACCATGCTGGTAGGCATGGTGTTATATCCACCAAGTTTCTATCAAAGTTTCTTCTATCCACATGGTTTATTTCCGCAATAAAATATCCTTGATCTGCTTCGATGTTTTCCATAATTCCGTCATCCCACCAAATCTTAACCCTTTTATGAAGTGATGAGGACACCACCCCTATACCATGAATCCACTCCCTACCTGGAAGTAGAATATAACTTTCTTTCGAAGCTATCACCATAAATACAGTTGGTATGGTAATCGGCTAAACTATTACATTGACTTATATTATTCCCAATGTATGCCCAGTCTTGCCCTTGTAATTTTACAACACCGTGTTGTGGGGCCTAATATTGGTGTCATACTTTCAAATTTTCTTTAACAAAAAATGAGGCATCAAATTTACTTCCTCCCCACCATCAATCAAAACTTTATTTACTCCGACATTCTCCACTTTGGCCCTTATAAACAAAGGCTTCAAGTGATTCTTCATCCCCTGATCTGACCTCTCAAAGAACATATTTTGTTCTTCACTACAGTCTTTGTTCACTACAAAGTAACACACAGATTTATGCCTCGCCATTTCTACTTCATCATAACTCACTAGCTCTGACACTTCTATAACACAGTCATATTCAATGGGAAGCACCGAAACTATGTTACATAGGACATCAAAATCATTCACAGATCCCGAGTCAAAGTTGTTTGTCACCATTTCTTCATCCTTAAATGGTGGCGCTTCTTTCACTTTTCCTTTCCCTTGACTGACATGGGCGAAAATAACTTCCTTCCCACATGCTTCTTAACTTGATCACTAACTTTTGTTTGATATGGTTTATTGCTACTCGATTCATCCATCTCCTTCTCAACTTTCTTCTTTCTTTAGAAGCTCCTCCATTGGGTACTTGACATTGGGTTCTTCCCTTTGTAATTGCTAGACCCATAAGAATGCTTCTCAGACACCTGAAACTTCTCACGATAGGTTAGTGAGGAACCTCTCCCCATTTAAAAGTTTTTCAATGTTTGGTTGTCAGATCCATTATTTCTTCCCGTTCAAAACTCGCTTCCCTTTCAGGGAACTAGATGTCGGAACATAAATTTGAGGTCTGCTTCTCAGCTGAGTCGGGAACTACTGCCTCTTCTGGGGAACTCCCCTTCTGTCGATATAGAAATGAGGTTGGTTGCTCCTCCATTTTGCCTTCTACTGCGCCTGTCAAGCATTTTCCACCTCATTATCAGCTTTCTTGTCGAAGACTGAGCTGCATCTTGGCCAAAGCATCATATCAGATTCCCTTGCCTTACAGCAGTAAAGGAAATCGACTAAACCATCATCATCTTTGGGATAAACATCATTCATCTTATTATTACTGCTCTCGCCAACCTCTTCATCCTCCATGTCGAAATCTTCAATGATTTAGACCATATTTATTTCTATTGGTTCAATATAGTGAGTTTCCTCAACCCAAAGTGGATCAGAATCAATCTCCATAGGAGCCTTACTCTTTAAAGCGGACTAAAATCCAACACAAAACTAAAAAAAAGACCAAAATTGTGATTTTTAAAATAGGAGGATCAAAACCCAAAAAAAATGAAAAATAGGGTAACCATAGTTGCAATTAAGCCTTAAATTTATTATTATTGTTATGTATACCACTATTATTACTGTTTTTTTATAATCACTCGCATTAAAAGTACAAAGGGTGCTAACCCAGTACAAAAGGAAGGAGGATCAAAGAGACCAACCCCAAGAAAAACTAAAATCTACAACCCGACATAAAAGTCGGGCTTAACCAACCATACGTCTAACAAATATTCATCTCGTTCTTTGGACAAAAGAGTCAACCAATCCCACCCTAACCTCTTAACGAAATACAAAATGTCTCCATGATTCCACACCCAACTATAAAAAACAACCTTGTTTCTACCTAACCACACACACCAAGCAACTAACATCCAAACAAAAGCAACAAAGGAAGGGGAAACAAAAGTAGAGAAGGAAGTCAACACATCCTCCAAAGAAACAAAACCCATAATAACATTAAACCTCATCCAAAGGAAAACATCATTCCACAAGCAAGCCACCTTGGCGCACCCCGCAAAGAGATGATCCAAGGATTCAACATCCAAACCATAAAGAGGACAAGAGAAGTCACCCAATGATAATTGAATACATCTATGACTCAAATCAAGTCTAGTTAGAAAGGCCTTAGACAACAACATCCAAACAAATAATTTGACCTTAAAAGGCACAAAAGACTTCCAAACTCTTTGAAGCTTAACCAAAATTCTTACATCCAACAACCTCACCGAAGGATTGAACAAAGCCGAGATCCTCCTATAACTATTCTTCACTGAAAATCCATCCACGTTTCTCCACCACACGAAGGAGTCACACACCTCCACAACCAGAGTAACATATGACAACAAAGAAGAGAGGGCATTCAACTCTGATGCAACATCACCCACCAAAATCCCCTCAACAAAACGGAGATCCCAAAACCAATCATTATCCCCCAAAATCCCATATCAGCTATAGAAGGAGAAGAAGTAAAGGAGATAGAACAAGAAGCATACAAAAGAGGAAAGAGTACATTGAGAGGGGTAGGTCCGAACCAAGCATAATCCTAGAAGCTAAATAAAACACAACCCCCAAATCTACACGAAAATCTATTAGGAAACCAAGGATGATCATTGATGACAAGACCATAAACCGCCTGTACATCCCTTCACCAAAGAGAAGACTTCAACAGAAACCGATTAGAAACAATGTCCACCAAAGCCACCATCCCCCTATACCTAAAACGAAGGAGTTTCAACCACACTTCCTCCTTATCATTCAGAAATCTCCGCCCCCACTTACTAATCAAAGAAAGGTTAAAGATCTCAATGTTCTTGACACCAATGTTACCTTCCTAAACAAGAAGACAAATCTTCTCCCAAGTAACTTAACAATTTTTTCTCTTTCCATCTCTACCTCCCCATAAGAAACTCCTCTGAATCTTAATGATATCCTCATAAATACACTTCGGAGTTTTGAAAAAAGAAAGCATGAAATCATAATGTTATTAAGCACATAATTCAACAAAGTGATCTTTCTACCCAAAGACAAGTGTTTATCACTCCAAACACCTAACCTCTTATTCAACTTGTCTACCACTTTAGACCAAGTCTCCTTCCGCCTATGATTAAAACCCACATAAATTCCCAAGAACAAGAAAGATAACTTCCCCGCTTGACAATTCAAGAAAGACGAAGCCACATCCAACAAGTGAGCATCTAAATGCACACCAAACAATTTGCTTTTGTTCAAATTAATGTACAAACTTGACATCAACTCAAAACCACCCATCAAAGCTTTGACACACAAAAGATTATACCACTATTATTATTCTAGCATAAAAGGAATAACTGTTTAAGAAATTTTTTAACAAATTAAAATTAAAACTAATTTACTATGGACAAATGCCTCCTCCTCCATTTGTTTATTTGGAAATAAAATTATTATTTTTAATAAATAATTTATACTTATAAATTTATTAAAATGTTCATAAAATTATATACATGTATATCACTATTATTATTATTATTATAGTAGAACAAGTAATAACTATTTAAAGTTTTTTTTAACAAATTTATGTTAAAACTAATTTACTATAAAAATCATTATTATTGTTAGGTATCCCACTATTATTATTATAGCACAATAAGGAATAATTGTTTAACAATTTTTTTAACAAATTTACATTAAAATTATTTTACTATAAATAACATTGTAGACAGATGACTCATCCTTCACGTGTTTATTTGGAAATAAAATTATTATTTTAATAGGTAATTTATGTTTATAAATTTCTTAAAATGTTCATAAAATTATATATACATGGAATTTTATTTGAAGTAAAATCCAAATAAAAAAATTATAATTGCATTATCTACCTTAAAATAGAAAAACAAAACAAAAATATTAATTAACATTTATTAAAAAATTTCATTTAACATTATACATTTAACT